CCAATTTCAGATATTACCACAAAACAAAATCTTTTTTTAAATAAAATTCAGTCGAATTACAGCTCATTTCTATTTATTGCCTAATATAAAAAAAATATAATGTATAAAGCGCTGAGGGAAAAATACCTTAAAAATGCAGTTGAGTATATGATATAGAGTTCAAACTTCACAGTATTTGCACCAGATTCAATAAATCTAATTAATATTCTAATTAATAATTCAATAATTTAATTAAATAATCAAGATAATCGCTGATCGTTTTTAGCAGCCATTTCTGTAAGAAAAAAGCGGAAAAAAGTGAAGTTTGAGCACTAATACCACGTGCCTTCAAATGCTGCAATTTAGTGGACAACTAACGATATCTGGTGGCCAAAACGTAAACTAAACACCTGATACTGTATATAATTTATTTCAATGGTTAAACGGGTAAAAAACGGGACGTCTTCCTCAATAATCGAAGTAAAACATATGTCCTTGGAAATCGCGGAATGAGCAAATTTTGCTACATTTGAGTTGCCTGGGGAAATCGCGGGAGGATCAGCCAGAGGGTTAATTATTGTTTGAATAAATCTAATGGACTTCTTTGTTCTGAGAAATAACAATTACTTTAAAACATCAGTTTCTCAGCTAACTTGACAACAGAATGTATGAATTAAACCACTGTTTTAATTATAATTTAGAACAAAAAAATATAGATTTTGCAACATTCGCAACAGCAGATGATGAGAGCATTGACATAACAGATAAAATGCAACTTTTCGTTTTTGTACTAGCTATTAACTGTCAAATCTGAAGCAATTGAGAAAGTACTGGAATTAATTGAAGGATTTTTATGAAATAAAAAGATAAAATATTGACAAAGTACATAATTATACGTGGATAAGAGATTTAATATTTCTTGATGACGTAAATATTCATGGTGTAATGGTAGCACACTCGGCGCGTATTTCGGTTCAGGGTTCAAGTCCCCAGCGAGGCAACTGCACATTTTTCATGTCGCCTGCTTCAAACAACTTAATGACGCTACAAGTGGCACCCGAACTAAAAGGTGGTTGATGATAATTCGTCACCACTAGGATTTGGCGATTCGGTCCCCTAAACCCCAGTTGCCCTTTAAAATATCGAGTATATAAGGTATTTCACAGTCTACGCGTATTCGAGAGGAGCTCTTCTGGGCAATTTCGCTGTACTTCTGTGCTCGTGCATTTCCAAGAAAGTCTCTAGCAATGTTTTGGAATGATAACCAAACATTCTTTTGAAGTTCTGTCATTGTTCCGGTGAAATGCTCATCTTTAAGAAGCTGCCATCGAGTCTGTAAACTATGGGAGCTTAACTAAGAGATTTTTCCCTTCTATCAAGATGAAATTGTCATGTCATCACTTCTCCACAAACTATAAATTAACCCAATTTCTTACTGGCCATGGAAATTTCAAAAGTTATTTGAATAGATTTAGGTTGAGTTCCGAGTCTGTTTGTGATTGTAGTCTCGGTGGAGAAGAGAATGTTGAACGTGTGCTTCTTCTATGTCCTAAATATAAGAACGAAAGAAAAGTCTTGAAACTGGAACTGAAAAACTTTAATATTAACTGGCCTCCAGAATTTTACAAATTTATTTCCGAGAGAAGTGCTTTTAACACATTTTGTCAATTTATTGTGAAACTTTGTAATCATCCTTAATTTTATTTCAGTTTTTTCTTTGGTGTATTGTGTTTCATACTTACTTCTGTAAGCCCCATGTGATACTATGTGGTACATGGGGAACTTATTGTGTTTCTTTAATAATAAAAGAAAATCTGTGAACTATCAAACACATTAGCCTTTATCTTTTCAACTGACAGGCTAGGAAATGCCCAAATGAGATATTTGAAACAGTCTCCTTCAACTGGCAAAGCTTTAACATATTGCTTCATGAGACTCAGTTTTATATACAGAGATAGGAATGTAATGCTTTTTCTGTAAGAAAGTTGCTGATGTGCTAGAGAGTTTGGATCACCAAGCTGCCGGTCATATCTTGGCGGCCAGTTCGACTGCATCCAATGTTTCTCACGAGTTCTGCTGTCCCACGGACGCAAAAAAAGACATACTTGGTATACCCTCGTTGCTGGCCAAGGAGGAAGCAGCCCATTTTAAGCTCAACACAAGTGATCCATATACGCATGTAATATTGCAACAAATCAGTGACTCTCTTTATGTCTTCATATTATTTGCACAAACAAAGTGGATGGCCTATTAGGACTGCATCAGATAAATTTCCAGGGTGGAGGAGGACAGACTTCAAGCTCCGCTTTGAGCTATCGGTGAGTTGCGTTATAGGCTAAAATTCCCGACACGTCCATTAAGTTGTGTACGTTATGGCAATACACAAATCCTTCATCGCTTCGAAAGTGCAGAAATATACTTTTTCTTTATTGCAAGTAGGGTACCTTAACTCCTTTCTCAAGTAATGTTTGATTTTGCATCTTGATGCTAACAGCTCTAAAGCTCAAGTTTTTTTGGATAATCTAAATCTCATGCCAAATCATAAAACCCATGCTTCTCAAATTACATATGAACGGATCTCTTACGAATTTGTGTTACAAAGTGTTTTTCAGTGGTACTTTGGCAAAAACATTTGTTCTATTTAATCGAAAATTGAAGATTCGTTCTCGTTGTTGATCCTTGCAATTTGTTGAAAGGCTTAGCGTATACATTCAACTTTAGACGTGAGTGGTTATCTAAAACTTTTAAAACAGATAAAAAATTAAGAAAAGGGTTAAACTGAATAAGTTGAACGTTTTCGAGGATCATTAGTTTGATAAACATAAAAAGTTTATTTTATCAATTCAAATTTTTAAATGTATTTATTTGAATGTATTTAACATGCTTATGCACTTACTAGTTTCATTTTTCTGATATATTGTGACCGAAAATAAGCATATTTTTATAAACAATTTTTTATTCAAATCAACTACATGAATTCAAATCAGTATTCAAAACTGCATTTATTAATTTAAGATGATATTTAATTACGACGAAAATAACGCATTTTTACTTAAAGTTGTATTTTTTCTGACCAAGGTGTAGAACTGGAAAGAACACTCTACAGATAATGATAAATGTTAGACAAAAACATGTATTTTTTTAAACACTTACATTTTTATTTATTTTCAAAATTCAACTTTGGTATGATATATTTTAAAATATGTACATAAGCAGAGTCCAATACTGAAATCTGACGAAAATACCTGGTTTCTTTTCTGACATGTCTTCCGCTAATCATTCATTTCCGAGCAACACACAAAGCCTAAACGAAAATCAGTAATATCTGTCCTGGATCTGGTCTTACAATGCATTCTCTCCTGGACTACTACGAACATTTATTAGAAACGTTGCAAAGTAAAAAAGGAGAAAAAGTTGGGCAAATCAGGAAGTCCCTTTTCGCGGCACTCGAACGGGTGCTTGGGCAAAAGTGTTACAAATGTCGTCTTCTGATTGAATGCATTTATTAGAATGACTTGCACAGTTTTATTACCTGTAAAATATTTTGATCTGCTCTTTCTGTGAAAACCAAAACTAATTTTATTTAAATCGTTAATACAGATGTGCCAAACAAAACTGGTACATCTCACTCGCCATGAGATAAATGTGAGTTTTTAGTTCTTTAGCCTAACTTTCAGAGAAAACAAAATTTTCTGTCTGTGGCCCTGAAAGTGTTCTTCTATTAATGTAATTCAGGCTTATAATCACAGAGTGCCCTGAGTGCTCGAGAAACTCGAACGTCGAATTATTTCAAATGTATTTCAATGTCAAATACTTTCGATGCATAAAAATTATAATATTTTTTTCATGCGTACATGTTCGTAATAGATAGAATGCACAAAAGGTTAATAAAATTTATTCTTATCAAGAGAAATATGACAGAACGCTGGAAATTTCCTCAGAGATATTCGTACTACTAATAACCGAAGACGGATAAGTGAGGACACCCATGTCATAGCGACGAATTCGTGTTAGAATTTGGATTCTTGTAGATTTGAAAAATCAGATTTACTGGTTCTGAGTGACTTAATTTGTCTAAGTATCAATTATTGATATTCATCGACAGTTAAAGCAGTTTCCAAAAATGATTGAGATTTCATTTGCGTTATTGATATTGGTGAACAAAATACGGCAACAAATAGGGTCTAGAAAGCAAAATCGAATTACTATCACTTTCCAAGGAAATTGAATCGCTTGAGAAAGCAAGATATGTAAAATTACTTAAGCTCGTCATAGTAAACGTTATATAGCTACTGTGTTTCAGCTTGCACTTTCTTCTTAAAATAAATTAGTTTAGAAGCATATGATTAAAAACATAAAATAATAAAACTTCACAACAACAATTTACAAACTGTAGAAAGTTTCATCTTGTTTAGTAATGTATCTGTACGAAACTAAGTTACTTAGTTTAGGCAGTATTAATCATTAAATTTGTAAAATTCTCTTACAAATACTAATATTCCACGAATGGTTCTATTCCAAACTGCCGCTGTAATAGATTTTTAGATGAGAAAAGCAGCTGTTCAAGAGATGTAAAAGTGTAGATTTTTAAGGTTTCAGTTAGATGGAAGATGCTTACCCATGCGTGTGAAGTCTCGCAGCTTCCCTATCCCAGTGACATTAGAATAAGGAGGTTAAGTATCGAAATTTTTAGTGAACTGTATCTTAAGTTAAATATGAACACTTTTTTGGCGTAAGATCCACTCAATTAATAACCACGAAATGCTCCATGAATTTATGCTTTCAGTTCCAGATACCTTCATCACTTTTTAAAATTTTTCCCATTGGTTTGCTGTTTTATTTATAAAACTCAATACGTTAAGCTTATAATATACAACTAATTAATTTTTCATGATCTGTGAAAAATATATTTCATATACTAAATTATATGATTGACTGAAATACTAATTACATTTACTGAAATTCCTTTGCCTTTTCCTTATGATTAAGCTGTCGGTGATTTTGAGCAATTAAGTACTTACTAGCAACTTCGAGAGTAGCGTTTCGACTTCTGGCTTTTCCGAGTTCATTGGTGGCGAGGCACCAGTAGGTTCCTGTGTCTTGTTCTCTTTTGGTGTGCAGTACATGAAGAAAAAAGAGCTCGCCGTTGTTCAGCACCATCCTGTTGCCAGTATTCTTTACTCGAATTCCTTCACGATACCATTCTATTGTAGGTTCAGGGCGCCCGTCTGCTTTGCAGTTTAAAGTTGCAGGCTCGTGCTTGCGAACGATGATATCCGAGGGATGTTCTGTAATACGAGGAGGACGCTGACCTAAAAATTTGAAAAAGAAAAGAATTCGTTTATAATTTGAAGAAGCAAATGCTTGAAACAATCATAAAAATTGTTTTCAATACTTATGTTTTAATCTGAACTAGTATTTGAAGGTGAGTCATATTCTAGCAATTACCATGCTCTGGCAATCGAAAACTGACTGAAGGATGAATATCTTCACAAACTACTTTTTGAAGACAACTAAACAGTATTAATTAGATAGCATAATGAAAACAACAGAATACCTTGTAACCAAAATCGTTTCAACCATCCTGAATCGAAACTAACACGAAGAATTTTTATGGCTGTAACAACTAGGTTACTGACTGGTTTAGGTTTTAAAAACTAGACATACTATTTAATTATGGTAAGACACTCTAGATCAGGAATGTGCAGTACCTTAAACCACTGCCCAAAAATGTATTTTTAGTGCATCATGTGGGAAGGGCCATTGTAGGATGTAATGTAAATAAATTTCTTTTGAGGTTTCCATATATTTTGTTAAGATGTCATGGGGAAGGGGAATAACTTTTCCCGGTAGAAACATCTTTAAAAACATATAATTTTAAATAGCGTATTTTCATTTTTTTACTTTAAATAACCCCAAATGAAACTCGGGTCACGACGGTCCTGCATACTGATCAATGAAATATAAAATACACACGGAAATTTCAAGGAATATGAAAGAGAAAAAAATTCATCGACGATTAATCAAAGTTTCTTATAAATTTATAGCTTTACACATATTTTAATTTTTAATAAAAAAACTGTACTGCAATGTGTTGTAAAAACAATTACATATTACTTAATCTATACTTAATGTGAAACGTGAAATCTCGAATCTTCATTCCTTCACTTCATCTAAATTAGGTTCTAACACACACATAGCAAAAGCCTTAATACGTAATGTAAATTTTCACCAGCAAATTGTGATCGATATTTGCTTTTCGTGCACTTCATTAAAGAAAAATTCTTTCACATAAATATGTCGATCCAAGTAAAACTAAATGATTTTCGACATAATCCAGAAAATTTTAAAATTTGCCTTCATTAAGTAGCCATAAAGTACTGTTATTTCACTCGAATGAAAATTCTCCTTTAACATAACGATCCACCTGCCAATCAGTCAGTTCTAACTGAATCTGAAATTAAGTACCTTGCACTTTAAAATTAAATGGCGTACTTATTCATGACAAATCTTTTAAATTTTTTTAAAGTTTCCAAATATTTTGCCAAAGTTAGTATTTAACTCGTTTACTATTTTGCCAAATTTAACAAAATTATAATTTCTCAAGTTTTCTCGTCGGAATTCCGATGTTTAGCGGTTTTCATTTAAAAATTTCAGCAAATAGATTTTGACCTATATGCTTTGCTTTTTGAGTGCGTATTAAAAGATTTCTTTTCGCTTTTTTCCCTTGCAGTGAAATATTTTAGTTCGCTCAAAAAAATTAGAATACCAACATAAAAAAAAACTAACCTTTCCTTATTTTGCTATTCAGAAAAGTCGCTAATTTTTTTAATCAAAAAAATTGCAAATTCATTAAACAATCTGTTAACAATGTTCTTTTCCTAAGCTCCCTCTTGTGATCAGTCTTTTTATCTCAGCAATATTCATATTTCATTGTATGATTTCTTAATTTAAACTGCTAGAAATGATAAAATTAATTCTTTAGTGGATACACCTGTCACATGTAGTGTTCTCAAATTAATAAGACCTCATTCGCCTTTTGGTCCGGCTTTTGCCTACTCCAGCTCTAGACCAATCTGCTTTAGAATGAATGACTCAGAGCAGACTTTACTATGGAAAATTGGATGGTACTTTTCCTGCACAGAGGTTGGTCGCACATTTTTTAGACGATTTTTCTTTGCTATAAAAATCGTTTGCTTCGAAATATTTTTAATTACAACTAGATTTTTGTGTAAATTATATTTTATAAAGTATAAATTATCTTCTGCTACTTGACAGTTTTGTTTGCATGCAAAATAGCACTTTTAAAGAAGGAATGGATGGAAGGTTATGTTTGTGCTCTTTCCGAAGAAATTTATTCGTATCTAGATATTAAAAAACGCAGCGAAAGCCATTGTGTTTCGATATCTTAAGTTATGATAAGCAATATTGCCAAGAAGAAAACAAAAAAGTGTTTAAGTTTGGCTTTAAGCGGAAAAATTGTACCAAATGCATATCCAAGGAGAAAACGGAATTTTCGAATGCAGAAAAGGTAAGATCCTTGGTGTTAACGAAAATCCGGCAAGTTAAAGTACAGCTGAGAAACCACTAAAATACTCAATATCAACTCTAAACAAAATTATTAATGCTGATTTGAATTGTAGAAAGGCGAAACAACACAATGTGCATCGTTTTTCTCCCCAAAATAGCTCCGAACACAGAACGCGCTGCAGAATTCTTTATAAGAAGCATTTATCCGGAAAAAAAAGAAAACTTTTGTCCCACTAGATGAATTTTGGCTGTATTTAAATTACTGAAATTAACAGAGATCCATTTATAATGATCAAAGAGGAGAAAAAAATCTTAAAACAGGGTTCAAAGAATCTAAACAAAAGTTTTCCAAAGGGATTTATGATGGTTGTTGGTTTTTCCTATAACGGCAAATTAAAAATAAAGAGAGTGGAGAAAATGTTCAGAACAACTCCACATATTATCGATAACATATTGTACACCCAATTTTCAAATATGAACTACCTTCTCTTTACACAGTGGGTCATCAATCAGTAGACGTGCATCAAGACAAAGTAAGCAACCAACACGCCAAAATCCACTGTTAATTTCCTGGTAAAAATGGAACAAGGAACAGGTATCAAAGCCATACCCTTCTCAAAAATTTCCTGATGTATCATCCATGGATTTTTGTGATTTTGGACTTTTAAAAAGCGGATTGTCCTAATGTCGACCTACAGCCCTGTTTGGAATTTGAAAAGCTGTTCAAGAGGAATGGGATAAAATACCTGTTCCGATACTACGAAAGGCTTTATTGGCTTGGAAATTACGGTGTATAAATGTAATGAAGAATATAAGGGCTATAAAATGTAACATTTAAAATAGAAAAAGTTTAGATAAAATATTTCTGTAAATACCAATTGACCCCCCCCCAAAAAAAAAAAAAACTACGCTATACTTTGTAAAAAGATTTATTAACGAATCTTTATTATTTCTTAAAAATTTTCTCACTAATTATTTACCACAAGTGCGAATTATGGGGGAATATGCATTTGTTAAAAATGAGTAAAATTTAACAAGGCACACAATTTGTGAAAAATACTTGCAAAGAAATGGGGGAGAGGGACGGGTTCCAATACATTTTAACTAAATTCATTATAATATAACTTTCTTCGAATGAAACTGAAAATTAGGAAACTGAGAAGAGGCTATAACACTATGCATAGATATTACAAATAAAGTATTGCATTTTGTCTAAAAATAAGTTATAATATGCGGCTTTTCGTAATAGAGTTTTCTCAAATAAGTGGTAAATAAAGTTCTGCCGTTCCATCAAATTCTTTTTAAAGCACAGCTCGATATTTTATCAGTAAATGCTAATTAGTGCACATTAATTAAATTAAGTGTTTCCTTAAGATAGAATTCTTTAAAATTTATCTCTGAAGGAGTATGATTTATTTCATACATAACTGTTTCATTGTTAATTTTTTTTAAAACAAACTATAAAATTCAGATAGTAAGCTAGAATGCTGTGTACGTTTTTAGCTTCATTCACTTTGAGTCACAAGAAATAAAATCCAGAGAAAAAGAACTGAAAAATAGGAATTAGAAGAAAAACAAATAAGTCGCCGGACGTCCAATCCCCTACACGGTTTTGGTCTTTCGAACGACATCACTCGTCTAAATCGTAACCGTAGAACGGAAAAAGTCAGTAGAATGAAAGCCAAGGACGCTCTCTGCAATTTAATCGCTGTCTCAGTCGCAGTTCTTTCTATTCCTTTTGCCTCCCCTTCCCCTTTTCGCAGACGATCGTGTCGGACAGAGCACAATAAAAAGCGACCAACGAGTGTAATCTCGTATTTCTGTTCGCACCACCGAAGCGAACCAATGGGGTATCAGCAAAAGACGTGGTTATCAAGAAATAGAGGAGGGCAAGACGAAAGGGTGGGTGGAATCCGTCATATATCGATCGGGGGAAGAAGCAATATTCCTTTCTAAGGAAATCTTTTGGATTATTATTTTTTGACTTACTGCTCTGGTATATGTACGGAAATGCAGTTAGCTAGAAATTGCGGAAAATTAAAGTGATGCCCCGTTCCCTTTTTTTCTCCTTCTCCTTTGCTTTTAAGGATTTCGCTGCATATTAAATGTTTCAAACCATTAGCGCAGATGACGGTGCACTAGCAACTGCATTTAAGTTACGAGGGGAGTATGTATCATAAAAATCAACTGTATAAATAGTGTAAAAGGTAAGGGGGTTTGGTTTCTCTCTCACGCAACGTACTTAATTGTGGAATGCATTAAAACGTTCTTTTGGAATTAATCGAAATGTCTTTGTAATAACGGGGAATCATTTGAACAAAGTAATGCGAATGTTTCAGGAAATATAGCTAGATCTGTTTATTTATTAATGTTATTTTTAGAGTTAAAGCTTACGATGTTCTCTACAGGCATCATGAAATATGTTTTAATGTATATAAAAAGTAGGAAGCACTGAAATCAAAAATATAAGCTAAAATACAATGGTGTGTTCAGTGCTTTATATCTGGGACTGTCTTTTCTTATTCTTAGAAATGAAGTTTCAGAAGCAATAATTTTGAAACTTTAGCTCAGTGTAATTCAAATTAACCATTAATGTTCTCCTTTAAAGGCATCATAGTTGGGCTATAGTGAAAATCCAGGAAGCCTTTATTACATAAGATTGCAGTAATTTCATAAATTATAAATCTTCTTACTAAGGTAACTATTCTTGTAATGAGCCTAAGAAACAGAAAACCCAGAACTGTTTATTTTAATAAATCTGCTTAATAGTTAAAGGAAATTA